GTTGCTTGCGCCCGTTCCTTCCTCCTTTTCCCTATCCCTGGGGCCTGAGCTTACCCAGCCAGGCCCCCAAACAGGAACTTGACGGACTTAGGGGAGGTACGGGGCTTCCCGTCCATCCGGCCAGCCCCGGGACTCGCGGTCGCCGCCATCGCCCCTTGATGGCCCTCGACTTTGGGTCCCGAGCACGCACAGCCCGGCTCGCGCCCAAGGTGACACCAGCGCGCAACAGGGCGAGGGCGCGCGCGCGCACGCCCCTCCGACAGGCAAGTCTAGCTCCAGCTAGAAGCTGGGGGGGGGGGGGAGGACGAGCGCAGGCGCGTAGCGCAAAGACGGCCGGGAATGAGGCGGGGCTGGGAAGAGTGAGTGAAGGGGCGTGGCTGACTTAGGAAGCCACTCTGTGTCTCCCACCCTTCCCGAACTGGAATCGCGGGAAACTAGTTTGTTTGAAAATCTCGCGAGAACGAGTGAGTCAGCCCAGTTAGGACTAGGAAGCTTCTCGCGATAAGTTTCCACGGCGAGAAGGGGTGGTGGTAGAGATGGAGATGAGCACTCTCGCGATATTTGAAGGTACCGCAGCTACCAGACGGAGGAGAGGTTTGTAAACAGGGCAGCTCCACGATCTCGGGCGATGAGGGGAAAAAATTAGATCGTCTTCTGGGCATCGGAGCTCCCTCCATCTCCGCAGGAACTCTCTTTCGGCCAGCCTTTTAGGACCGGAAGTCCTACGTCCTGAGCGTCCAATACTGGAAGCGGCCTTTCTTTACCGGAAACCCTTTTCCAGGGGGATCGGAAGACAGCTTACCTGGCCGGAAGTCCCACCTCTTTGAGATTCTCCCACCCCTCCTGAAGTTTTTCTGTTACCTGTTTGTCTTCTTTCTATTCTCCGTTTTATTTCTGCATCAGAGAAAGATACATTGTCTCCCTCCCAGCTCCACTAAGCTGGTTTTATACCTTACTTCCCGAGTCGCAGTTCCTTCCCCGACGCCCCCATGTAGCTGAGAAGTGGGACCTGGGGGTGGTTGGACCCCTGGGATCCTTAAGGAGAGGCAGAGAAGGCGCAGAACTTGGCTTCTCCTCCTACTATCAGGACGCGACCTCCTCAACCTCACACACATACACACACACCCGCTGCCATGCACCCTGCGGCCTTCCCGCTTCCTGTTGTTGTGGCTACTGTGCTGTGGGGAGCATACCCTATCCGAGGGCTTATTCGAGCGGTGAGTCTAAGGGTCGGATGGGGGAAGGGTGCTGTAAAGGGGCTTCAGGCTGAAGAGAGAAACGGACTATTTTGTCTGCAGATCTCCGAGCACAATGCCAGCATGGACTTTGCAGACCTCCCAGCTCTGTTTGGGGCTTCCTTGAGCGAGGAGGGACTCCAGGTGACGCGCTCATTTCCTTATAGTCTCTATCCTAGGCAGGGGTTGAGTAGCCTTGCTCTGGATCAAACTGGAGGTAGGAAGTAGTCGAGTTAGTAACGGAATGCATTGGGCTGTGGATAGAGCCCAGTGGTAGGGTGCTCACCTAACGTAGTGAAATTGAATCACCAACAACACAGCTCCCCCCACCCCAAATACCTAAGGACATGACCATGCCCAATACAGAGATAGAGTCCAGAATCTAGAGGTAGAAGGCAGTGTCCTAGAACTGTCAAATTTGAGAGGGAGACTGAAGAGTGAATTAAGATAAAAAGCAGGTGCTTATCAGTCATGTCTCTAGAGCTACTTAGAGTTTGTATGGATGGCTGTGGACGGTCTTTCTTTGACCCTTAGTAAAATGGGTAATAGAAGTTAACTAGTAAGTGAATTAAGCATGTCTGTAATTTATTACAAAGTTCTTGCCACATAGTTGGACCACGGATAGCAATAGATTTAGCAATAGTACAAACCATTGTTTGTACGATGGGTAACTGGAAAATGAAGCAAATTGAATGTGCTCTTTGTACTTAAAGATGTGAAAAAATTTGGTGAAAATGGCACGAACAAGTAGCAAGCTGAATTATCAGTAGGGAACTGGAAAAAAAAACAGAACTAAATTAGTCTAGAATTTGAGAAGTCGAGGGAGCCTCTGGTAAAGGGATGTTGTGTACCGTAATTGCATCTTCAGGAAGCTGAGAGACGTAGATTCCGCTTTTCGTTTGGTTTTTTTAGACAGGTTTCTCTGTGTAGGTCAGGCTGGCCTCCAATTCAAAGACCTGCCTGCCTCTGCTTTCTAGGTCTGGGATTAAATGCATGCATCACCTGAGATGTAGATTCTGATTTGAGTGGGATGCTCAGACCTCAAGAATATTTAATGAGGGTAGAGCTGCAGAGTACAGATAGCGTGTGTGTGTGTGTGTGTGTGTAGCATTATGCATGATAGGCCCTGTGGGAAGCAGAATGTAAAGATGGAAAAATCCAACTGTTTGCATTTATCCCTCAGGGGTTCCTTGTGGAGGCTCACCCAGAAAATGCCTGCAGCCCCATTGCCCCGCCACCCTCAGCCCCGGTCAATGGGTCAGTCTTTATTGCACTGCTTCGAAGATTCGACTGCAACTTTGACCTCAAGGTTGCTAAATGTGAAATGGGAGCTGGTAAGCAGGGTAAATGACACTGGGAGTGAGGAAAGGCAAGGGTTATGACTCCTCTCCCTGCTGTCTCCTTAGGTCCTAAATGCTCAGAAAGCCGGGTATGGCGCAGCTGTGGTACACAATGTAAAGTCCAATGAGCTTCTGAACATGGTGTGGAATAGTGGTAAGGCTGGGGAGTCTGTGCCACTGGGCTGTCAGTAGACCTAAAGAGACTAGTTCTGTGGGTGGGATGGGCAAAAGTGTCAAATGTCAGTTCCAGGGAATCAAGTGGAAGGCTAAATCCCTAATATCCTGCTCCCTACAGAGGAAATCCAACAGCAGATTTGGATCCCATCTGTATTTATCGGAGAGAGAAGTGCAGAGTACCTACGAGCCCTTTTTGTCTATGAGAAGGGGTAGGACATATGCTTTTTCCCACTCTTCTCCCACCCTTTCCATGGCAGCCTGGAACCCTCCCTACCCACAGAGGCTTAGGCCCTTGCTCATCTTTCTTTCACCTCACCCATACCTTCTCCCAGTCCAGTTACCTGGTTTGGCTTGAGGCTTGTCTTTTTCCTCAGGGCTCGGGTGCTTCTGGTTCCAGACAGTAGCTTCCCTTTGGGCTATTATCTCATTCCTTTTACTGGAATTGTAGGACTGCTGGTTTTAGCCATGGGAGCAGTACTGGTAAGTAGCCATGGGAAGAACTTAAGACCAGACTGGGTCTGGAGATGGGAAGTGGGGTGGTTGTTGGATTTTCCAAATTTTTTTTTCTTAAACCCTGGTGCACTCTCCTTTACCCCTAGATAGTTCGTTGTATCCAACACCGGAAACGGCTCCAGCGGAACAGACTTACCAAAGAACAACTGAAACAGATTCCTACCCATGACTATCAAAAGGGTAAGGGCATGGGAACAGGGCCCATCTTAAAGAGGTACAAAGAGCAGTGAGGTGTTAGAAGATGTCATTTTTGAATCTCTTACACACTGCCAACCACAAGCAAAGGGGTAGAGTGGGAGCTAGAAAGATGATTAAGTAAAATTTTTGACCTTGTGTATGAGCGTATGGAGTAGAAAGATGTAAGGAGCTGGTTGGACTCAAAACAGGTGAGGGGTTGGGTTATCTAGCCCTGGAGCCTCCAGTGCCATATAAGGCTATGGCAGAAGCCTTGTCCCTCCCACTTCTGCTTTCCCCCTCTTACCCTCCCCCCAACCCACTTCCCTTCTTATCTCTCCTTGCCCCCTCTAGCCCCAAGTTTTTCTATGTCCTGCCCTAAGAGCTTGCACTGGCTTGGTAAAACCTAGAACTAAGCAATCTTTACAGGTTTTAACTCTAACCTTCCATAGTGAGCTCCAAATGGCTCAGTGAATCCATTCCTTCTCCCAGGAGATCAATATGATGTCTGTGCCATCTGTCTGGATGAGTATGAGGATGGGGACAAGCTTCGGGTACTGCCTTGTGCTCATGGTGAGACCACTACCTTTGCCTGTGCCCCTGCCCCATCTGCAGAGACCGGGTGCTTCACATACTCCTCTCCATAGCCTATCATAGCCGCTGTGTGGACCCCTGGCTCACTCAGACCCGCAAGACTTGCCCCATCTGCAAACAGCCTGTCCATCGGGGTCCTGGGGATGAAGAACAGGAGGAAGAGACTCAGGGGCAAGAGGAAGGTGATGAGGAAGGGGAGCCAAGGGACCAGCCTGCTTCAGAGTGGACCCCACTCCTGGGCTCTAGCCCTACTCTTCCCACCTCCTTTGGATCCCTAGCCCCAGCACCCCTGGTCTTTCCTGGCCCCTCCACAGACCCCTCACCCTCTCCTTCATCTGCTGCCCTGGCCTGAAACTTCCCACACTTGGCACCTCTGGTGATCCTATTTGCACAAATTCTCCCTCCAGTCTAATAAGCTAAGGGATAGGGGACATTTCCACCCTAGGTTCTCAAACCCCACCTCATCCTTTTGAGGTGGCTGGGAGCCATAGGACATTGTTCTTCACTTCTTGGGTTAATAAAATTGTTTTTGTGGACAAGGGGTATTAAGATCATTTATATACAGGTAAAATTCTGGAAAAGAATCACTTCATGAGATTAACTTGTCAGGGGACAGCCCCAGCTGCTTCGCTATGACTCAGGGAGGGAAGCCCCACCTACACGGATGACTCAAGCAGCCCTGCCTCACCCGCAGGCTTGGACCCATTCTCTTGTCTGGATGGCTATGTTCCATTACAGAGTCAACTGGGCCTCTAAGAGAAAGACACTGTAGAGGGGCCCAGGCCATCTGACTGGGTACATGGAAGAATACCTACTTAGTCCTGGGGGCTGAAAAGCAGAAAAATGGAATGGGAAGGAATGCAGAGTTCAGTCTGGACCCAGCCAAGAAGCAAATAGCTAAGTTCAGTGGCATGGGCCACAGTGCCCGACTCCAACTAATACCCCAAGTGCAAAACCACACAGGACCTTGTTAGTAGAATCTTTTTTATTCAGAAAAAAAAAAAACCAAAACAAATTTTTTCCAAACACACACAGGAGGGGGTATGGGTAAGGGGAGGTATCTGTCTGTCCAGCCCCAGCCCCCGGCCCATGTGGTTTTGGCAGCAATAAGGGAAATGGGGTAATGGCCCAAAAAATAATGGTATGTGTGTGTATGGAAAGAAAGGGTGCAAAAGCTGAAGGGAGCGGTGGGGGAGGGGACAGATGAGGTCAGTACTGGGAACGCCGCAGGTGGGAGGCCATTTCATAACATTTCTTGTTGATCAAACCACCGTGGACACCTTCTTTGCCCATCAGCAGGACTAGCGCTGGAGGAAAAAGAAAGGAGGCTAGGACCCAGGTGTCACAATTCAACCCTGCCAGCTGTTGAGCAGCTGTCCAGCCCTGGGGGCTGTAACCTAACCTCATTCCTCCCAACCAGCTACCCCCCCACGCAGGCAAGCTGTCAGTCACCCTAAAACAATAGAGCTTTTCAAAGGAGGAAAAAAATCCAGCTTAAAGACTAGTGAAGAAAAGGCAAAACTAGAGGTCACAGGCTGCAGGCTGCCGTGGATGAGCTTCCTGCCTCTCAGGCTTTTACAGAACTCAATATCCCAACAGTCTATACCAAGTGAGCTAATCTCTAAGCTTAAGGCAGGAAGGGATTTAAAAGGTAATGTAACTCAGTTTCTTTACAATATGGGGAGCCAGAGGCAGAGCCCAAGGATTCTCCAAGGTTCCCACATCCAGCAGACTTCCAGAAAACCCTGTTTGCAACCTTCACATTGAGGGATCAGAGAAAACCCCAACGACTAACAAAAGGAGATACGTTAGGGGTGCCACAGAAACTCACTCTTGGCAGTCATGGTGACAGTGACATTGAAGGTGGGGGCTCCTCCGGTGCTCTTGGTACGAAGATCCATTGTAAATTCCCCATCCTGCAGCAGTGAGTCCCGGATCACAGAACATTTCTGGCCCCCAAGTGTCAACCCATTCACGAAAAAACTTGACCGGTCTTTGCCTACCAGGACACCAACCTCAGCAGGCTGGAAGAATCAAAATCAATCATCGCGTTAAGTTAGTGCACCAGCTAACTTGTTTCCCAAGAATCCACTATTTACCCTGGAGATGGGGGTGAATGTGCTTCATACACACCACCAAAAATGGAGTGGTGGGGGTGTGCAGAGAAAACTCATGGGGCCTGGGAAGAAAGAATACCATTCTTTTGAAGACTTTGCTAGACCTTGATGTTAAATGGGGAAAGCAAAGGGAAAAAACCCTGGGTACCAAAATTCAATGAATGATCCAGGGGGAGCCTTTGGATGCTCAGAACAGTCCTTCAGGAAAAGCAGAAGCGGAGAGGGTGAGGGAGGGGGCAGGGAAGGAGGAGAAGCAACTTTGTCCTTATTTGGTCAAAGGTTCTGCAGGCGTTGTTAGGAGCCCGGACGCCTGGGTCTCCCGGTAACTTAGCATTTAGGTCCAGGTGTCTACGCCCCAAGATGAGGAAGCCGACCCCTGGGGGCTTTCTAGGAAAGTTGAGAAAGTTTTAAGGGTTGGGGGACCAGGCTGTCTTGTGTCTAGACATCACGGGGAACCTTTCTTTTTCTGCCCCCCTCAAACCCTTATATCCGGTACCCTCCCGCCCGGAAATCCCCTTCCCCCCCATTCGAACTTCCGCTCCCCCTCCTCACTTCCGGGCAGTGTGGCTAGGGAAGGTGGTGGTGGGGACAGCAGCAACCTTATTCCTTCACTTTACGGTGTCAGAACTTCTCACAAAGTTCCCCTGCTCCAGGCCCGGCCGGATGGCGGGAAGGGAGGGTGAGGGGACTTCCGGGACTGGCCTCACAGGAATGTTGAGGCTAACGTGCCGAATTGGGGGTGTGTGTGTGTGTGTGTGTCGGCCTCGCCCTCTCTAACGGAGTTGGGAGGGGCAGGGAGCGCACGGAGGTCGGGCCAGGGCTCAAGGCCACGCGCCTGGAGCTCCCACCAGCACAAGGGGAGACAATGGTGGAGGAAGCGCAAGCGGGCCGCCCAAAGTGGAATCGAGGCTCCCCGAGCCCCCTTATCAATCATAATCCCAGGCTAAAATTGCAGCGCGTGCCTGCCCCGCCCTGGAGGAGGCGGAAGTGGGCCGCCGCACCGGGCGGCGCGCCCCTCCCCGCCCTGTGCCCCGGATGTAACGCCCCGTCGCAGAAAGCGGGGTGGCGGGCGGGATGGGCGCCGCCGCCGAGGGGCGTAGGGTCTGGGGGGCAACAGAGAGACCTAGATTCATGCAGCCGCCATTCGCGCCGCTTCCAGGCAGAGGACCAGATCACGGCCTCTCGCTGCTTTCGCTAGGCTGCGCCCGCCCCCACCCAAGTCTCTCCCTGAGGGTCTAAGCCCGGCCATTGCCCGGGACCGCACAAGCCCCTAAGTACCGTAATGCTAACGAAGGTCTTCCCGGGGACGGCGGCCCAGACGGAGG